GATAAGTATAATTTAAAAGGGAAAGTTTAGAAGAACAAGGTGACTGAAAGGGAATTTGGAAAAGCTCATCTGTTTCCCAGTAAGGCAGAAATAACAAGTCTTGTTTGCAGAGCATGCTGCTAAGTCATAAGAGGCTTATCCTTCACTAAAAACTATAAATATTTACTGTTACATTAATACCATCTTTTAAAAATGAAATATGATTGCTTTTAGTTTACCTCATTCCCAAGGAGATGAATAGTTTTCATTTTATACATGACCATTAAGCAAGGGGGAAAAATGAACTGTCACTTTTCAGGAAAAAGAATTAGGAGCTGTACTTGCTTCATATTTCATTCCAAAATGTTCATACAGTTTTTTATGCTTTTGCAGCACCTTATTAACTCATTCCAGTTTTATTATGGAAGTCTTCCTCAACCTGGTGTCCCCTGTATGCACTACATGCATACTACAGGTAGTCCTCAACCAGAACTTCTGTTGCTAAGTGATACAGTTGTTAAGTGAGTCACACCCAATTTTATGACCTTTTTTGCTGCGGTCGTTTAGCAAATCACTGTGGTTGTTAAGCAAATGCAGCTTCCCCCATTGACTTTGCTTGTTGGAAGCCCCGTGGGAAAATTGTAAATGGCAATCATATGACCCTGGGATGCTGCAACTGTCATAAATTCATGCCGGTTGCCAAGCACCCAAATTTTGATCACATGACCGTGGGAATGCTGCAATGATCATAAGTGTGAGGACTAGTGGTAAGTCACTTTTTTCAGCACTGTCATAACTTCAAATGGTTGTTAAATGAATGGTCATAAGTTGAGGACTACCTGTACTCTCATCCTGTACTCAGCCAGCACTCTTTTCATTTGAAATTGTGGTCAACACATTTGGAGGGCATCAGGTTTTGAAAAACAATCTACCCAATAAGTGATAAATTTGTTAGCAATTAAATGTAAATCTTTCTATATATTTATTTTTCTACCTGGTAATTACCTGAAAATCTGTTTTTGTCTAGTATATTAAGAATGTTTGATAGGTCCTTTTTCTGAGTAAGTTCAGGAAATACCAATTTAAGTTGTATTTTGATAATTTTAAAAAAAGGAGGGAAGGAGGGAGAAATTGCCTCTGCATTTGGAGTTTCAGTCCTCAGTGATTGCCTTACTTTCCTCAATTTTCTTTTCCATAATTTTTTCCCCAAGAATTTTGAAGCAGGATGTATAGCTCTTTTTAATATAACAACTCTGTCAGGTAAAGTAGATTAAGAAATACAAAATAACTCAGTGAGTTTAGTGACTAAATGAAGGTTTTTATGGCCTAGATTTGTTGAAGAATTTTAGGTGACCATGGTTCAGTGTTTTGTCCATGGTCTTATGCTACATCTGGGAAATGTATCATAACATCTTCCATATATCTCTTTTGAATTTCTAACTAATGAAAGGCACTCTCTTTCTGTATTTTTTTTGGTGCATGAGATACCAAGCAGGCACAAGAGACAAGCATCAGTTATCTCCCACCAACAAATAAAGAGTTCTCTGTTTGTGCCCAACAAACATACACTTAAAATTAATCATAGGCTTCCCCAACCTCAAACATGTTTGGGTGTGCAGAGGGAGTGCAGATCACTCTTCTTTTTCAGCTGTAGCACTGGGAGGAAGCCTCAGGCTCATGTCACTCAACAAAATCTGCTAACTTCTCACTATGTTAAGGGCGCTAAGCCACATTCTTGAACCCCATATATGGTGATGCTGTTGTTTTGCATACCATACAAAGACTGGTATCATAACAAAATTATCGTTATGTCTGAAGGCTTGATTACATACCAGCTAGTGGTAAAAGGAATCCCAGGGCTGGTTTTAGAAAGAAGGGAGAGTTGTAAATGGAATGCAGATTTGATACTCATCATAGTAGCTTACTTTTGACACTTGGATTTTAGTAACTAAAAAAGAAAAATCAAGGTAGACTCTTTAATGTACTATGCATATATGCTCCATTCTTCAATAATATCCCAATAACATGCTTTCCTCTTTCAGGAAATAAATGATTTAAATTTAAGTTTCTCATTATTTCTGCAATAAACTCTTAGAATGGATCAAATCAGAAAATATTTTGGTTGAAGAGCAAGCAGGCTTTAGAGCTGGACATTCAGTATTAGATCACGCTCTTATTTTGTAGCATCCAGATGAAAAATATACTTTTAGGTCAGGATCCACACTATATGCGGCATTTATCAATTTCAGAATCACTTTTGTGCTTCTCGCTAGACATGGTACAAACTTAAGAACTCTACAATAGATAGACGCCTGCTTCTTCTTATATATAAACTTTATGAGAACTCTAGTTTAAAAGTTAGGTGGATGATGTTGTGCTATTATATCAGACACCAATTGGTCTAAACCAAGCTAATATGCTTTAGCTGCATATTGCAGGACAGAAGCACTCAAAAATAATTATGCAAAAATGAAGATATTAGTATTTGCTAAGTGCCCTAAAATTCATGCCTCGCAACTGAAAAAAGCATCCAATTGAACAAGTCAAAATCTTTCAGTATTTAGGGGTAGTGTTTCATGCAAGGCACACATGGAATAAGTTGTCGACAGTGCACAGAAGTCAGCAACAGCCCTGCAATCATTTTATTACTCTAGAGGTACATTATTCATACCTCTTTGCAGCTCGAGTGCATCACTACCCCTTTTGTTCAGAGCCCAATTGGACTATATAGGTCCTTCACCCCTTTAGAGAGGATGCCATCAAAATTCCTAAAGAATATATTTCAGGTCCTATGACATGTTGTGTCCCTAACATGGACTTAAGTCATGAGGCTGATGTGACCAAAATTGAAACTATCATTTGGACATGCATCTCTTTTTATTGGTTAAAGTTACATTTTTCCCTTGGAAGATTGACACCTCTGATTTTAAGTGATGACTTGGTTTCATCTTGGAGTATGATAGTGCTCAAGAAATTGAGTGCTATGATTTCTCCCTTAAAGCAATCCTGATGATGTGTGTCAGCATGCAGTGGCTGCCCTTAAACAGTGCACCAAGGAACTGGTTGCCATACCCAAAGATGTTTTCTTTTTTCAAGCCGACTAGATATTTAAGTCAAATAATGGTTCCCAAATTCAGAAGAGCCTTAACCTGGCAAGACTTAATGCCCTCCCAACAGCTGTTCTTGAGGGGAAATTTTGGGGTATCCCATTTGAACAAAAACTTTATCCCTGTGATGGAGATCTTGAAATACTAACCCACATTTTACTATATAGCTCTCATTAAAGATGCCTAGCTGAAGCTAATAATACCACATCTGAGCAGACTTCCAATTCGGTCAGGTCCATTTTATTTACAATTGTTATTATCTAATCACTATGATTTTATTTATCTTAAGTTTTGTTTTACTATTTGTTAAATATGCCATACTTCACCACTTCAGTATCATAATTATTGGGTTTTACTGTGGTTTTTATTTCCTGTCTCAGAGGGGGTTTTTTTCTTCTGCTTTTCAGCTGGTCTGTGATTATAATAAAGTACTTCTACTAACTTCTGCTCTTGTCAGCTTGGTAAATAGGGCATTTGCCTCTGAAGTTACTCCTGTATTAAACTCAAATAATATTAGGACGACGCTATGAAAGTATAGTTCAATTAATGGCTGTCCGCTTATGCTAAATACATTGAGCCAATTGCTAGTAACTGCACACCCCAAATTATGTCATACTATAAGAATGGAATGGGACTTACTTCATTAGAACAATCTTGATTCACACTAATTTTGGCAAGTACAGCACAGCAGGCCAGAGTGTTCGGAAATGCACTGTATTCTTGGCCTTTATTTATAACACAGAAATCTGATTCGGGGAAAGCTACAAGTCCTAGCTATCAGTCATTCTTTGATCCCACTAAAGGCTACCATGAATGACAGTTGCTGTCCTTTCTCATGCCTATTAAAGGTCTAGGCATGTTTCAGATTCCTGCACATGGATGACTAGTTGATTTCTAATGAGTAATTTTTCATTTGACAAAATTATGGACCCCAGCCCTGGCTCTCAACTGTGACAGATTTCATTTTTTCCAACTTTAGTTAAGCTGTACCACTGACTATTAACATAGATTTTTCTTAATAAAGTCAAATACTTAGTCATCTATATATATTTTATAACATGATATAAATAATTGTTCTAACATTTCTGTACTCTGTATGACATATTGATGAATGTGCATTATGGATATAGGTTATAATGAAAAGTTTCTCATGTTTTATATGTTAATTTTATTATTAGACTTTCATTTATGAAACCATTTGATGGCACATAGAATTTCAGGCCACTGGCT